TCCAGCCAAGTCTCTCTCTTTTTCTCTCTCTCCTTCCCTTCCTGGGGGGGGGGGAGGGGATCGAGAGCGTTGTTGTCGGACCTGAGTGAAATGGTGACACTTATCAACAAGTCTTGTTAGCAATGCCTACCAAATCTAAGTGAAAAATCTTTCCTAAAAACAACAGAACAGTGCAAATACCCATGAAAATGGACAGCTTGAACAACTTGTTTAGAGAAAAGGAGGCACAGGGGGGATCTCATCAAAGTTCTAAGTATTTACAGGGTGTGTCAGGAGGATGGGACCAGACTGTTCTCAGTGGTGTCCAGTGACAGGACAAGGGGCAATGGTCACAAACTGGTTAACAGTAAGTTTAACCTGAATATGAGAAAATACTTCTTTACTCTGAGGGTAACAGAACCTCTGTTACCCAAAACAGTTTGTGATTCTATATCACCCTTCTTCTACCTGTAGTTGACCTTTACGCTCCCAGATTATGCAAAGCATCCTTAAATGAGCCCAAACATTCTTATTATTTCGATGAGGCAGTAACTAAGATTGCAACCTAAACCAATTTTAACTCCAGAAAATCATAGAATCATGGAATGGTCAAGGTTGAAAGGGACCTCAAGCCTCATCAGGTTCCAACCTCCCTGCTATGAGCAGGGACACCTCCCACCAGACCAGGCTGCACAAGCCTCATCCAACCTGCCCTTCAACACCTCCAGGGAGGGGGCATCAACAACCTGGGCAACCTACTCCAGTGTCTCACCACATGGTGAAGAACATCTTCCTGATGTCCAACCTAAATCTCCTCTCAGTTAAAAACCATAATGGATTGTAAGAGAAATATAATAGAAATATCAACCAAATTCTCCTGGCACCACAGGGTACTACTTAACACTGATGTCCCTAGGCCACATTTTTTCATTTTTCCTCCTTAACGCTTTTATAGTTTTTAATGAAGTGAAAATGTCCTGATAACAACCAGATGTTCAGTCAGGTACTCCAACTCTAAACAAGAAGCTGAAAGAAACCTTTATAATATAAAGCTCTGGGAGCTCTATCTTGCAACAAAATGCTAGCAAGAATTTCTACTTAAAAGTCATACAATTGCATCTTTTTTGCTGACTGCGCAGTTTTAATCATCACTGTACACTCCAGAGTGTGGATGTTAACAAAACCAAAGGGAAAGCAGAGTATCCATGACATACCCCAGGGAGCCATGAATCAAACATCAACACCCTGTAACACAAGTGTTACAGGGGGCTGCACAAGTTTGATTCCTGAAAAGCAATCACACTGTAGTTCCTATAAAATGCTTTAAAATTAAAACATGAAACCCTTTTTCCTTGGCATTTGGTACAGAGCAGTAGAGCCTGTTTCACAACAGGGTAATTCAACATCTTTTTAACAACTCACAGGGCCACAAGGCTGCAGGGTCCCATGGTCCCTGCTGCAACCTGTTTGAGGTGTGCTCGGTGTAACTGCCTTCAAGCACATTTGCCTTTCCCAAGAGGAACTAATTTTGAGAAAGAGTGTCTTAAATTCAAAGGCAACTCTGAGCCACTCCTAGAGATGCTTTGCAGTACACCTCTGCAGCCTTTCCCAAAAAAAACCATCACATTTTGGTTCTTCAGTTCTATTCCTAGTAAGGGGTTTGAAGAGGTGGGTTCAATCAGACTGTCACCTCCCCCATCTCACACCTCCCTTAATTTTGAGCTAGACTGCCCACCTGCCTTTTCCAAACACAACTGCTGGTTAGTGTGGAGACAGACATGAGCTCATTCTGCCAAGGCTTTTACTAGAGCAAGCTCAGATGTGAGCAAGCTCTGAAGACTTGAGCCTTCACACCCTCGTGTTCCTGCCAAGCCCAAACTTAATACACTTGGTTTTGGCCAGTCTGGGTTAAAATGGGTTAAAAAGATGCACCCACATGCAAAATCCCACACGCAGGTAACCCAAAGCTCTCCTCCCAACAGTACCTGTTGTCTTACACACTGTATGTCTTCCATACAGCTGAACATTAAAGAGTATTGACAGGATTTGCAACTTTATGAGCTATTATTATAATTATTTTGTACAGTAAACTAAGTGCTTTCAACAGCTACTTCCATTCCCAGCAGCCTCATTCACAAAGCAATAGAGATGGTGACAGGTTCAGTTGTTGAAAAGGGTTAAGACCAATCATGTCTGTAAAAAACTTTTCTGCCAGAAAAGCAGAATAAATAATACTGGACTCCACAAACACACAGGGACTTCCAAGAAAGAAAAACAAAATCCTGCAGAATTTATGAACTTGCCCATAAATCTCAGTCCTTTCACCCTTTTGTACTTCCTCTAATCTGCTCCAAACAAAAGGTATATCTGTTCCAGGAAGTCCTGACAAGCTTTGCAGATTGACACTCTCCATCATATCATTAATTTGTTGCACACTACCTACAGAAAACCCTGTGTGATGTTGACAGATTTGTATTTAATGTGAACCATGTTCCAAAAACAACTGCATCTCTGTCAGCTTTCCAACCAAAAGAACAATCCCAAGTATAAAGACCAAATCATCAGCAGAGCTACATACTAGCCAAGAGAGAATCTAAAACTCTTTCCAAGCTGTGAGGCTTTAATTGGGGCACTATATTTTAGGCACAGATTTCAATGCAATTGAACACAAAACTTGTTCCTAACACTACCCTTGTGTCCTGGTTTGAGCCAGGATGAAGCCAATTTTTATTTTTACTGATTTTTTTCCCTTCAGTAAGCTTTCTTGTAACTAGCAACAGTGTGTTCTGCTAGGCTGATAAGACACTGGAATGTTTTTCTAACTACGGAGGCTTCAAGGCCGCACCTTCACTCTGCCGGCTCAGACACTATGGGGAGATCTGTGACCCCCCCGTAGGAGGCTGAGTTAGACAGACAGCAAAATTGGCCAGAGATATTCCATTCCATATATCTACGTAAGCTCAGAGGAAGGTCAGAGATCCCAGAAGACAACTTCCTTCCTGCTTCTCCTTCCCTTCTCTTCCGTCCATGGCCGGCGTCCGGGGAGGACTCTGTTCATCCATCACCGTCGACCCCCAGGCTCGAGCTCTCCTGACCCCCATAACTCTCTGCTTTCTCCAGCAGCAGCTCCGGGATTCCTC